TCACATGCTGCATGTTCACATTTTCGTACACGTTCGATATCTTCATTTTTTGTTTGTCTAACGATGGAGATGCATGAAATAAACCATTCCTAACATATTCCTTACTAGAGTTTTTAAAATCACTTCCAACGCTATTGGTATGAAAAGATATTCAAATTTAAACTGAGATATATTAATATTGGATAAGTAAAACGTGGGAATATAAACGAGTCAGTTGCGCTTGTACAACACAAAATCATGTCAACAATAGAACCTTTGAAATCCAGGAAATCCTGGGCATTTAATTTCCAACTGCTTTTGGGATTCTCAGGATTGGATATACAAGACATTCAGTTTTCGTTCACATGGATATAAATCATGTTACTTTTGTAAGAACGGTGAAAGAATAATGTTGAATCACCATATGCAAAACCAGTCTACTCAAATTCTGGACTACTGTAATCACTCAATACTAATGTTTGAAAACCAGATTATTTTATCTTACAATTAACTCTTCACAGATAGGTTAGTGTGATGAATGATTAATACGGTTATTGCGCAATCAAACGTTTTATTTCGTGTTTTAATCGGTTATAATAATACAGTACGACTCCATTCTGTTCACTTCAAACGCGACATCTTAGTTACGTTTTGCCTGTCTTAGTTCAATTAGTACCACCTCAAAACTACAGTTAGTTATCACAGTTTAGAATATTTCTCAGCATTGTTTTGTATGCGATAGTTATTTGAATAAACAGATTTCAGTTACTATTCGCTACATCAGTGTGTTCACCGTACTTTTATTTGTTTAGTACACTTGTAATATATATGTATAAAGATGTTTGGAAATATTGACCATTCGATTATTAGTCACTTCCTAAGAGTGCCGTGTTTGGCACGGAATCTGAAGGTTATGGGTTCGGTTCCATATGATTTTCGTAAAGGTAGATAATATTTTTAGATGAAAGTAAAATGTATTTTAATATCTATGCTTGGTTCATAAATGACAAAACGATGAAGGAGCTTTGATATTTATATTCTCACAGAAGTTAATAACAATCATAGTTTTGTACATTTTTAGCGTTCTGAATTATTATACCTTGAAACACGATTTATGTATCGTAAATGGATTAAGATCCTCCTCAGTTGTTTTAAGCTTCGTTTATATGTTAGAAAAGTCAAATATCTTGTTTGTTTCAATAGATTATGCTTTGGAACACATCTACAGATACAATCCATTTTTTGTTTTATTACGTAAATCAACTAATCTCATCTATTTCTAACAATTTAAACAATATTTTGACGTGGAAATGCTTCATTATTTATTCCATGTGTCCTTCTAAGCTGACCATCTAATAATTGTTTTCGAATGCCTAGTTTTATAATAACAATTTACTCTTAAACACTGCATTATTTCTTGGTTCAATCATGTAGGTATTTTTAAAAATGGATCCAAATCGACTTGGTCATATCCAATTACTGGATATTAAACGATTTTTCAATACTCCTAAATGGGCTGTGAATCAACTGGGTAAATTCTAAATTCTTTTGGTTTTTCAAAAATGGTGTGTCGTTTGTCATTCTTCCTTATACAGTAAATAAATCTCTTTTAATTAATGAGGCAAATAAACGGTACTAAGTGTGCGACTGCTTTCTTACTAACAAACTTTTACCAATCTAAACTAAACTAACCACTTTCAGCATAAATAAATACAAATGCATTGAATATGTTATGTTTCTGCAATTGTATAAAATGGGATATCTAGTTCTAATGAAGAACACTGTACTGGTTCCTTTAAACTTTAGTTTTAATTTGTTTTCATAAGGTTTTGATTTAAATATGGAACAAATAGCAAGATGGTTTCCTTTCCGTTACCATTCATATCAGTCTAAAAGCGTTTTAGGAATTTGAACAAAACACTCAAGTAAAAATATCTGTCTACACAGAAATCTTTACTAATGACGGAAAGTCCCATTACTAGTATTCTGAGAAATACGAAAGTAACATGAAGAGTATCAAGGATAAATCTACCATACTCGGGATGATGTATGTAGAGATGTACAATTTTTCTTAACATTTTGAGTCGGATGTAAAATTTTATGAGCACAACTTCTGAAGTGCTCAGTTGTCCTAACTTTGTGTAGGCCATGCCTTCACAGATTACATTTTGTTTGCTTCACCAAATGTAGAAAGTGTAAAATGCTCGTATTATTGGTTATCTTCTTTACCGTTTCTGGAGTTTCCTAAATTTCACATTAGGACAATTACTATATGCATTTACTTATTAAAAAGCATTAATTATACACAACAATAATGTTTCATTGCTATGAAATTTCCATTAATGTTCCCAGGTACTAATATAGCTCATTCACTACCGGATGTTTTGAAAATTTTCGAAAAATTCGTTCATGTTCAAAAACGCCTAGAGTATACAGAATTCGAAGTATATTATCAAGCTGTTTCGACTACTTTAGGAGAGTGTCCTGTTGATCAGTTAAGATCAGATGCAGCATATATGGATTTATGTTCATTGCTTCCATCAAGTGAGTGCGCTCAAAACTATTTTCTAGGTGAAAACATAAATGATTCCTGTGATACATTTATAAAATTAATACAAGATACATGGTGCATTTGATTGTCTATGCTGTAATAATGATGATCATGATAAACGTATAGAATAATTCAGACAAACTTGCTTCCACATATTTATATTTAAACATGCAGCTGTCACTAATTGTTCTATATAACGTTGTGTTTTCATCTACATAATTTGTTTTTTTTAATCTTTTTAATAAAGTTATGATTTTGATATGTTCGTAATAAATTTGGGATTTTTGTTCCTTCTTAGTTTTTAAAATTGTCAGTTTTCAAAGCATATATTTTGTTAGGTACACAAATATCGGTACACCTGGGCAACAAAATATGCGCTAAACAATAGTGAAATGGAATTGTCAAGAGGTAGGTGAGGAAGAGAAAGTACAATCAAAAATAAACAAATGATTAGGGATAATAATATTAATAATAATGAGTGGCCGAAAATAGTATATGATAGAATATATAGTTCAGTTAAAAATACAACCAGCAACACATCTCTCAGTTAAGCCACGTCCTCTCAATTTTCTATATGAAGAATGTAAAAGAAAGCTACTGCAGGATCTCCATTGGCTTCTGTTTCCACTCACATTTGGTAATGTCTCAAGCCACTAAGTTGTATAATCCTTAGAATCCTAACCAGGAAGCAGTGAGGAACTGAAATGTCCCAGTCTCGTACGGTTTTCATTCATACTATGACATTGTGTTGTGAAATGACCACTTCTCCCAATGTTGTACCTCGCCCAGAGTCCGAAAATAAAGCACAACATGAAAATCGCTCAGATGATCTTCGCAACACATGTCCAAACCACCGAGGTCAGTGTTTCAAGATGGTGACACTAAATTGTCATCACTGATCCCGGATACACATTGTCGAACCTCAGCATTGCTAACACGGTGTTGCCATCGAATGTCACCACTCCTTCGAAGACAGAGAGTCACCGGACATCTTCAGCTAGAAAAGGTCAGGTTTCACAATCACAGGGCAGGATCGCTCTCCTCGACGCGTTGTAGACCGGATATTTCAGTCACACTAACATCATGAAGGCGCCAAAGATGAATCAGCTTGGCATAATTCACTCTGAATTTCACTATAAGTAGGTTGATCTCATCGATCATGCCATCATCAACACACGCACAGCTATCCATATACACGAACATATATTGCGGTTCACCACCAAGTATGGGTGACAGTACAGATTTCTGAGTCTTGTAGAAATGTGTTGTATTCGGAACGTGCAAAGTAAATCTCATAGTTACGGACACGGATTTGCAACAGAAGAAGTGCGAATTGGATAGCTTTTGTCTCATATCATAGTAAGACGATATCGTATGGTTACCGAGAAGTTTTCCTCCAGGTGACAGATCTATGCAATCGTAGAGTACAGTTCTTTTTTGCAACAGATTGACGGGAACCTTAATATCAAAAACATAACGACGGTTAGCCTTCATTAAGTATTGCTGAGGAACACTATCACTTCGTCCCAGGATTTTCGGAACACTATTTCAAAAGCCTTTCCAAACAACTCAGTCAGTTTCCTGGTCACAATTTCGCCCTCACCTAACGAAGGGAGGGATTGTAGGCCATCTGGGCCCGGTGAGTTGTGGCGCTTTAGAAGTTGGAGTACTTTGAGAACCTTCGATTCGTTAGGTTGATCAGTTGTCACCAATCAGGGATGACAAGATATTTTAATTGGCGATTCTGTGAATAATGGGCCAGCTGGGCTGCTTTATGAAAAACTCTAGTAACCGTTCAAGACCTTGGATATTACTAATTGGCTTTCCATCAACCTCCGGTTATCAGTTGAAACAGATTCCGGACTCAGGTGTTGTTTTCAGCTCGTCAGCGCTTCCCAAGCACTGTTTCTTACACACTGTAAGATTACTTGCGTAAGAATCTGCGTATAGCGTCAAACTCGCTTTCCACTACAGTAAACTAGCGTGCCTCAAAAAGTTGTAAGAAACCTTCAGAAATCTAGTATTTGTAAGTGGTGCACTGTGAAATCGAGGCATGCCCATCATTTTCATAGTGTCATCAAAACGTAGGAAATAACTACAGTTCTTTCTGATTGTTGTATTTGTTTTAACTATAGTTTTGAATAGATAGCGATTGTCAGTGTAGAATAAGTGTAAGCGAGAATAAATCATATAACTTTAAGCTTTAATAAACAGTGTGATTTCTGAGAACAACCTAAACCGGTAGGTTTTTGGTCTACTAGATTGAAAGGTCAAAATAATGGATTAGAAGTTAATTGATGTCATGCTTGAAAACTCACAACCTATTTATTATAGATTAAAAGATACATAACAAAATTCAATCATATGAAGTTATGAAGAGACGTTTTGAAACTACTTCGTCATATAGTATCTGAATAAAAATTATGAAGGTCCCATTTGTCATGACATAAAAAGAAATGTGATTTGGATTGCCGAGAAACACGTTTTATTTACTAATGATATAATCTTTGAGGCTATATAACAAACTCATAAGTCTCAATGTTCATAAACAAAATATTTCTTTATAGAACAAATTAAAGCGATTTGAAATACTGAGAGTAGGTTGCAAATTGTCTGATGCAATCATAACTTCTAAGCATAACCGCTCCCTGAAACCTAGAACTTCAAAGTCTGGAGAAGCGACCTTAAATTTCGATAAAATTAGAATAATTAAATTTCCTTTACTTACCTTTAGACATATACTTCCTAAATAAGTCTTCGTAATTGAGTCATACAAATCCTTATCATGTATATAAGCTAGTAATAATTCCCGCAACTGATTTTTATTGATAATTGAACAAATTGCAGGACATTTCGTGGATAGTAGCTAAGGTTATGTGGTGTAAAACGTAGAAATACCTACCACGTTGGCAAAAGCAAGGAAAGATGACAAGTTTTCAATATTATTTACTGAACCATCTATTTGTAAATGTTCAAGAATAATATTACTCCATGGACTAGTCAATAAGAACATATCTGTGCATTGTAAGCAAATATAGATAACTTACTGATAAATGATTGTTTTTTGGTAGTTAAACAGATATATTTAATCAGACAACCATACACTTCGATTGACAGTTCTTGAATAAATCTGTGGGTTATGTCCATGATTTTAGTATTCAAGCACATGAAAAGCTGCGAGAAATATAACAGGAATTAGTTAAATTCGACACAATAAAAACACAGTACTATTCAAGAACGCAAATATTCGGATAAAATTACTGCTGAGGAGTCCCATACTAAGACGAAACGGCCGTCCAGTGCTTCCAGGTTTTCAATGGTGGTCTAGCTTCAACTGACTCATGATGTAAATCTGTGAAAATTTCTAAAATCTCCACAAACCCCTTCTGATAATAATCATCTGCTCACTAGTGACTGACTTCAAGAGATACTCCTGGATTTCTAGTGGGAAGCCGTTACCAGTGGAGTTCAACCAAGTCTGTTGTGAGATATCAGCTCACTGAAGACAATGGTATATGGTGGCGCAACTTCGTGGATTGGTTGAAGTTAGACATTAACACCGTTAGATGCCGGCTCAGTGGTCTAATGGTTAAGTGCTCGCGCGCGAAGCCAGTAGGTCCTGGGTTCGAGCCCCGCGTGGTGCGGGATCGTGGATGCGCACTGCTGAGGAGTCCCATACTAGGACGAAACGGCCGTCCAGTGCTTCCAGGTTTTCAATGGTGGTCTAGCTTCAACTGACTCATGATGTAAATCTGTGAAAATTTCTAAAATCTCTACAAACCCCTTCTGATAATATCCATAATTGACTGAGATCATTTCTTAACACGCTTGAAACCATGTTTAATCACTTTAGTTGAAAACAAGCTAGCAGAATGAAGTGAAGCACTCAGCTTGACACTACAGAACGTTGAATACTGTCAACACGAAACCTTATGAACTCTTAGCATTCATCAGAAAAGAAATCATTCCTAAAAGATGCTAGTTAGTCATATTGCTAAATAAGTTACTACTAAGCCGCTAGACCGTCGAGTCTCCTACTAATTTAAGTAAGATCCTGAATGACCGTGGTAAGTAGAAAGGCAATCTCAATTTTAGGGAATCGAACTGTATTTCAATAATTATCACACCAAATGATCTAAAATTGGTTGGCTCGTTCAGTAGGGAAGTCGCGTAATTAACAACGATTTGTGGAAACTACTGATGCTCACTTCACAGTAATAGTTCTCGTTCGAGTTTTCAGATATATCCGGCCACAAAAGATGAGACAGTGGTCCGTAAAATGATTCCAATAAACAAACAAGTGCACTGGTCTGAATGAAAGGAGATCCACTTGTTACTGGATTGTGACTCAAAATTTCTAAAATTGTTTCTGGATTCATAAACAGTAACTGTAAGGAAAAGTGATCAAAATTTTAGTATTCGTATGAAAACGAAATTGAAACAAAAATTGGTCTAAAAATTGTTTAATTCTCTGACTACTTCAAAAAGTGATTTCATAACTCCACTTCATGTTGCCTCACATAAACAAAAAATGGTGACAGATCTGAAGTATATATGTATTCAACCTTAACAAAATTATTTTTAAGACGTTATAAACCAGTATGAATTCAAGATAAAGACTTTTTACCTAATGAACTATGATGGATTTATCAATTCACTTTATGGTAGAAAGTACTGAAAGAAGCCCGAAATACTATCTGATAGTGCTGATAAACTTCATCTTCTTGAATTTTAAAAATAATTTTGTCGTATAAATCTAGAATAAAAGCACTTTCTCTGTGATTCACGATGAGGACTTGATTTCCAAACAAAAGGATATAAAAGACAAAGTGAATGTCACCGTACAATGACTAAACTAATCTTTTTTATCAACGTATGAAAATTAATCGTCTCTTTATATTATTACTATTGTAACCACTGCTTTATAAAAACCTCAAGAAAATGGTTACATCACATGATTCCCGGAAGCTTAATGTTAGAAAATTTATACGTATAGAAAGATTGCAAAACATGACTCTTTTTATTTCGGAACTCTGATTTATTTATTTTATGAATTCGTCTGCTTGACTGTTGAACTTGGACTTCTTTAGACCATGTAGATGTCATAGTTTTGTAAATCAAAAACGAAACGTTTTCATCTAAACGAAGAGTGAGTAAACGCTAATTCTGGTAAATGTTTCTGCTGGTTCTAAATTTATCTTGGTAAACCTTTCTGATTCATAATCACATTAAGCATCTTTGTTATTATGTGTTTTCCCTGAGTCCATTATCGATCTGTTTCTCATAGCTTTAGCTTTCACCATCCATCAAAATTTGTAGAATTTGTCAGGATTCAGTTTTTTTCAACTTTCTTCTTAATGCGTTCTGAGTCACTCGGATTGTCAGACGGTTCACTAATTCAGATGGAGCTTTCAAGATTCACCTAAATTCACAGTGCTAAATGATGTTTGCAGAGCTGAGTCAATATAACACATTGTTTCTCTGATGAGATTTAAGAATTTTCATTTTGTGAGGTATAACATTTATAGAAGTCAATGGCGTTTTTTATTGTGACTTAAGTTAACCAAAGTGAGTATACAAATGAATGAACGTTTAAATATAGGGGTGAAATACAGTAAGGAAATGAACGAATTTGTTAATAAATTAAGTGATTCAAATATATATCCACTCACGTTACTAACAGAGTCAACAATATCATTATTGACTAATAAATGTTTTGTACAAATATTTATTGAGGCGCCAATCCCTAGAATGGAGTCCAATTCTGCAGCTGTGATTTGAAACTCTTCAGTATGTATTTTCAAACGATCAGCTGCAGAACTTTTGGAAGTCTCCTTCGAAAAGCGGAAAATACAACTTTCCCAGGTTTGGATTTCTGAACATAGCAGTTTTACAACTAGATGGATAAACATAATTCTTAATTTGACAAAAATCAGAGATGATCAAGGTAGGATAAATCGTGCAGGTTCTATAAAATTTTCTTTTTTGTAGTTAGAGAATTTCCAAATCATCCGTATTATACGAGTTACCATTTAAAAAGAATATTCCATTCCTTTCTAGAGAAGATAGTTTTTACCAGGGCTGGATAAGGTCTCAATAACTGTATGAATCAAGTGTCAGTAGACAGCTTTTTGTCCTGTTTCAGACCACTCCACCAGCCGACAACTATTGGATTCAGTTGTCACTGAAGCCCAAGACCATTAGGCCAGTAAATTGGAATCTATTGGTTCGCACATACAAACATAAGTTAATCCAGGGTACAGTGGAAGCAACATTTTATGCCATTTATGTGTCAGTAGATCCCTTACATTATCGGTTACTGCTTTCTGCTGAAAGTTCAGGAGAACTGTCCACAGGATTATTATTGACGATATCACTTTACGATTAAATCTTTATGCGAACCTAAAAAATTATCAAATACTAACGCTATAAGATGAAGGTCCGAATTTTTAGTTTACTTTGTGTACTTAAAGTCAAACTAATACTGTCAATTTTATCCAAAAGGATCGTTCCTAGTACTGACTCTGTAAGCCGTAATAAATATTTTGCTTATCTCAATTATAATTGCTGAGGTAATGAAGTTCTTTATCGACAAGCGATGAATAAAATACACAGCCATGTGTGGAGTCCATTTAGCTGTTAGGAGAACGTAAAGGTTCTTATTAGTTCAGTAGGTTATGATTCAATAGATGTTTAGCTCTAGAAGACAAATATTACTTTTTGATGCATTAGACGTAGACGTATAAGTATTATTTGTTAGCCCGCTAAAGACACTGGTTCGTTTTGAACAGGTGTGAGTGTGATGAGAGTTGAGATAGTATTGGCCAAAGCGTATATTTTACCTAATGTAAATCCTAGTAAAAAATTTAAAAGATGGTATGACTTATAGCTTAAAATACAATTAAATTTTAGGTTAGATGGTTAAAAATCAGGGTTTTGAAGTTAGTGTAAGAAATTATGATTTAAGAGTTTAGGATTAAGGGATTAGTACTCGGTTTAATTTTGAGATGATGATGATCGGTAGCTCAGTGGATGATTTTGGGAGTGTTTCGGTCCCTGACTGAACCAACCATCTCGAACAAGAAAACTTTACTGAAACTACTTATGATGTTATGCACAGGAAGTAAAATTCAACCTTCAACTATTATTTTCATTAAGCTGTTATATATTTAGTATGAGCGTTCAGTAACTCGAGAAACAGTATGTTGGTTGCGGTCTTATTCAATGCTGCTCCGCATATTTCATACGGTTCAACTAAACCAAGAGTAAATTCTACAAAAATCCCATATTTAGCGAAAAAAAGAATTTATAGTCAACTAACTTTGTACTTGTGTATTATTATCAGAATTCATCAAAATGTGTAATATGATCTCGAGAAGATCATTTCGAAGTGAAGAATTAGGATCGAATCGTTCATTCGCTAAAAGTCTAATAACTTGAATCATTTTGGCAGATTAACAAAAATAAAAACATACTTTGTTGTGCCACCATGACAACAAACTGAGAATGAAGGAAGACTTCGTGTAGAAACAAGCAGGTTATTTTTAACATTTTCACATACGCATATTTCAGCTCATCTGGGAATGAAAAAATTTTATTGAATTTCAATTCTGAAAATAATTGTTTTTTCCAATGAATTTAATGAATGACAATTCATTTCTAGATTAGAAACAAATTTTGCATAGTGGCTTGTAGTGTCAGTTATTATGCCAAGCCCATATACCTTATTCGAGCTTTCGGACATCCCATTTTATTCATTTTACTTGAGCCATACATTGACCTTGTTATTTATTCGCTTATCAATCTAGACTAATTTTATATGAGCGTATATGTGTGTGCCCTTCTTATTCCTTAATTACATGTCTGTAGCTTTATTTTGTCTGACTATAAATATTGAGTAACACTTGACAAAGATGGAGTTGGCTTCCCAGCCATCCTCCCCGCGCGTCATTTCGTTTTGTTCTATCGCATTCACTTTACATACAAAATATATGTATTCAATGGCCATTCTCGTTAATTGACTTATTTAATTCGGTTATTGGCTAACGCGATTTAAGTCGACGATGATAAACGAGAATCAGCGATAACAAACATCTGTACGATCTTGGAGTCAGATCAAACGGCCACAGGCTACTTATAATAAACGAGACTACTGAATAAGTGATGTTCATAAAATATATGTTATATAATCCGATAATATACCATCTGTAGTGCTTGGGATTGATTAAATATCTTAGTCGTAAATGCTCGCCGGTATATTTACCTTAAATGTTTCGGAAAAAATAGGGAATTCAAGAAAAACCAATAATATCGTAGGAGTGCATCCATTGAATATACCCTGAAATTTTCACTACACAACAAACGGCATTTGGTATCTACAGTAAATTATTATTTATTGGTAAAATGACCATATTTGTTCCGTGCACATTTTTTTAGTTCTAGTAACAGTCGAATGCTAAACTCATCCTGTTTAAAAGCCAGTGTAATTGATTACGTAAATTTTCACAAGGATAATACTATTCATTTTTTTGTGACCATCAAATACGATGGCGTTGTACCATATGATGTAGAATGATCGAAATATTGCAAAATTGAATGCTTTTAACTAAATAGTGCTTTGGAAACTATATATTTTAGGCCTAATTAAATAAAATTTCCACATACAGTATCATTCAAACTTATGCAAATTATCAAACAAAGTCGGCTTCATTCCGGATTTAGTCACCTAGTTTACTATTCTACCTCACAAGCATGAAATTTAACTCAGCTACATAATTTGTGGAGGAACTCACTATACAACTGAAGCATCAAAATCACTAACTGGATTCTAGTAGCCTAGAACTTAGAGTTACGTTTGAACTTGTTATTAGTACAAAAATAAGGAAACTGAATGATAAGCCGTTTCTTTTATAGATCCTTTAAAGTAGAAGTTCATTGCATGAAAAGAAAATTTAAGGTGAATTTTTCAAATAAACTTCATGAACTTAAGGCTTTGCCAAAGCGCTTTGTGATCACAGATCATAAAAATAATAAACTACTTTTCAAAATATAAATCAACTTCATTTATATATTGCTCCTATTACTTCCAAACAGATAATATCAAGAATAGCTCACGTTGATATTACATTATATATATTGTTGACCAGATCGGTTTGCGTGGCAAATGGAATTGTAACAGCTAATCAATACTGCAATCGATTTCCCAACACTTACAAGTCATAATCAAACAGAAAACACGGATATATACCAGTAGTCAGAAGGAAGGTTAATGCATAAACATCACGTAAATGATCCTATATAACAAACGGATTATCATAAGTATGATTAACTCTCTAATCTAGCAGATTTTATCAGAAAAAAATAATCGGATTACTAATATGTACTGCTTTAATAAATGTTTCTGAAAAGGCTTAACTCAAGAATTTTATGTGGTTTGTGAACCAAGAACAAGTTATTAAGCTTAACTTTGAGCCACATTTTATATATAATTCTATTTAGGTATCAAAATCAAAGTAGATAGAGTTCGGTTCAAAAATTGCCGTAGTGTTAAAAAACAATTAAACATCTTTTAAAAATGTTTAGGGTTCAGGATTGAACCAAGTAAAGCATTTATGAACCCGAAAATTGAGTAAAATAAAAGCCTGAGAATATGACTTACAGTTAGAAGTGAAGACGTCTAGAAACGATCCCGGAAGGTTATTTGGCAGTACTGAGAGACAATCACAAATATAAAGTGCTAACTGTTTTCTCTGAACAGAAGAATAACTAGTTTCTACCGATCCATCCTTTTCCTTAGGCAAAAAAATACAATAAATATTTCAGTGTCTGCAAAAATATCTCTTTAACCAGCCTATTTGCAAATCAGCAGAGAATAAAATTATACCCATAGTTTTAATACTCATGTTATTAAACGTTATTGTCAGTCCTCTTAGAGAAAATTTCGAACTCTGGTGCAACCATACATAATTCAGTTAAAATTTTCGACATTATCAAAGCAAGAACAGTCATTAGATGTAGTCAACGGGATTTCTAAATTTCTTCAAGCTTTGAAAGTACAGAAGACAATTTCCGGGTTTAATCAACCATATCTATTTGAACGATAGAGAAGCCAAGATAATTCGCGATAATACAAATTGATCATGATCATATCGTTCTTGCATGTAACAAATTAATAAGTTTCATTAGGAGAGAACATGAACTTCGAACCAACTTAAGTGAATAGTAATTTTTGTATTCCCTAAAGAAGAGCTTGTAGACAAAATTGGAAATGTGAGTTATAGTTATGACAGTTAGACAAGGACTTCATATTAGGTAACAAAATACTGTTCATCAATCACTTTTTTTCGAGTTCGTCGTGAAAAGCTAATATGAAAAACTCTTTCTGGAATACATATAACTATTTTAACTTTTCATTCAGAAGCCATCATAATAACATCATTCAGTTGCTTTCACACTAGTTTCTAAATGAATCAACATATTCAGTAAAAGATAGATATAAAATAATTTTAAATGGATATTTCATTAATGACTATGAAAACTAACCTTTAAGCTGAGTGTTTGTATTTCGAAAGTTAGAACTAAACGCTGAAGGACATCCGCATTGTCGAATTTCATCAAATTGTTGTACCATACTGTCTATATGTAAAAATTAAATTGATATAATACAAAAGTCGGGTACTGAAACGACTGAACCCTAGTTTTTTGTTTACTGTCTGTAACTTATGAGCTATTTTCATCGTATCGATAGGTTAAATATGACAATTTTAAGTAAATCCTTAATTGTGGATATAAATTAGTTCATGGACTGAAATAAGCTGAATAATCATTATGAATCAGAGAGATCTAGATGACTTCCACTTATGTATTTGGGATTTATTAAGACGTATGCTCACTTTCTCATCAGGAATTGAAATCGGGACCCCAGGGTCCCATTTTAAAAAACGAATATCTTAGGGATATAAGCGTATGATATTCCAAACAACTAAAACGTTATACAAAAATTTAAAATATTATTCAGATTTTTCATGGGTCCAACTAAGAGATTAGTTGGATCACCATTGTTCTAAACGTAATTTTGGAAAAGTTTCAGATACTTTCTATTGCAATTCAAAGATATCAAGAAAGTCAAGAAACTGAGGTAAATGTTGTGGGGTAGAACGCATTCAATTAGAAAAGTATACTCACCCAAGTATTGGACAACAAGATGTAAGTTGTGGGAAGTAGGGAAAATACTTGTTCCTCAATCAATAGTTCATCACTGTGGCACTGTAGTATCTACGCAGAAATAAAAAACTAAATGTTTGGAAGTGTTACTTATTACATATAACTTATTATCTTGTTTTATTTTGTTTAGGTTGTTAATCCTATCATGATTATCAGAGATTGTCCTGTGTTTTTTAGGCATGACATTCTTCTTTCTTTTCATTATTTGAGAACGAAAACCAAGGAATTTTAGTGATGAAATGACACTTGGTCGTTTATATTTTGTTGTAATAACGATCAGTAACAAGCAATATCAATGTAATAGTTTAGGTTCTATAATGTTCTCGATACTGAATTTTAAACTTTTCTGTTATATCCTAGCAAAGATTAAATTACGAGTAACTTCTGAGACTTATTAATGGATTAATATATATATTCCTATTGTATAAATGTTCAGTAACTAGATTATATATATCTATATCCTCCTTATTATAAGCTTCATTTCATCCTTAAGTTATGTTCACTTTATTGATTACAGTCTCCCACGTTCACAGACACTTTGGGCTTTACTTTGTATAAATGTTATTTCCTATTTTATGGTGTGATGAGGCCTGTTTGGCTGCTACATAAACCGAGCATGTCTGAAATAAAGGATTCGCATAGCGGAAACTGTTATTGGTGTTCTGGACTCAGTTGAACGGGCAAGGCGAACAAAGGACCAATAAGGACGCTAGGCTGATCAGACCGGTCGAACGTCATTGGTTAGTGTTACAACTTGTCGTTTGAATACTGATTGTCTTGTTTTGGACGTCACGTATTGTTATGTCGGAAACGCTTATCACTTATGCTCAAAACGAGGGACCTCTGCAATTCCCGCGACGCGAAAGTAAGAACACAAAGACTGGTATAAGTGAAGATTTATTAGCCCCAAACACGACGACGACGATGATCAAAATAGTCTAAAATAAACTCACTTATATATTGATTTTACACTCATTTCTGATTAATAATTACAATGTAATTCACATATATGAAAAAATACTTAGTTATAACAAACCACATACTGAGCATAGTTCATGTCAATTTAATACAGGAATATCGTGTTATACAGAATAAAATATGATAAGAGAAGTAATGTTGAACAAAACTCATGATTAGTAAATCCATCGAATTTTGACTTTTCTTTCCATCATAGCAGTTAGTACAGTACAAGAGTGAATAAGTCGTATTTCGATTGGCGAATAAATGACGTGATAACTAGATGGACTTTAAAGTCACAACAGTTTATGGTTTTACTAGGTCTTTTTATATGATTTCACAAACCACTTCTAACGGTGCTCTTTTACTAACATAAAACAAAGAAGTAAACAAGAAGTTGAGGTATATTCTGTTTTTGGCAATTTCTTCTGGTTGATTATTCTTTGATCACCATGGTCGTGAACGTTTTTCCCGAATAAATAAATATGGAATAGATAAGTATTCTGATGGGAAAAAGTAAGTTTTGTAACTTAGTGCATATTCTTAATCCTGAAAAATGCCGATAGTTCAAACAGAACGATATATATTGATCACGAACAAAACACCTAAATTATTACATTTCCCAGATCTAATCTTTATATTGGTATAATAGCTTATCAGTAAATAAAGTTAGAAATCGACTTCACATTGTTTTATGAAAAAAAGACTCTGTGAATGGCATAGGGATGATAAAGATGTATTTATATATCGTCAGTAACAAAAGTTCAGTCAACAAAGCGAACACAGAATATTATAATGGATATACTAAATATGAGTAATTCTGGATGTGTAAGAAATTTTACTATCTGAAGTACTCTTGTTTAAGAGTAATTAGAAATATTATTTAAGGTGCAGTTACTGTTCGTAATCAATAGTATTTTTAACTTTTATACAATCATAAGCAGCTTTGGTTATACACTTAAAGTATCGATTCCTCTTTGGAAAGTTTCCTTAAGGTCAACTGCAACTAATATATCTAATGGTCTTAAAATCTTTTGTGGAATGCCATATGCATTAGTTATCAATCATTTAACTCTGTGATTTTTAGGAAGACGCTATAAGAAGAAAAATAGCTTCATTGGCTCTAGCCAAAAGAATCAAAAAACTTTCATACTATAACAAAAATGACCTTTAACCTACAATTTTTTGGGCCATTTTGATCCAACAGGGACTGCAATTTTCTAAGTAAGTAGAAAATCGTGGAGTGCGCAATAGAACCAGAGTGTGTACAGGCTGTAGACGATCAAACAGTGCTAAAGATAAAATATCTAAACCTAAAATATAAAAACAATGAATTCAACTTCATGAATTTTCACGTTTCGCACGTTCACGGTCAGTGGGTTTAAGGCGATGTAGATCAGCGTTTAGTAATTATAAAAATTCCGTGTTCTATACGTGGAAGTGTTTTCTGTACAAATGAGTATATATTACACAGAAAAATACGGTTAATTTATCATGAGGTAATGCTTCCTTATTACCACATGATCGTGAAAAATACTGGATGATAGAAATCCAGATCGGAATTAGAGTTGGTGTTTTGCCTGACAAATGTCACAATTTATATTATTAGTATAGTGTTCAATAATCTAAGTAAGGAATTAATAATTTGAAAAGCACATATTTACTAGTTTTGTTTTTAAATAACAAACTAAATGATCATTTCATTTTACTTATCTAAGATGCATTCTGGAATTAAAATAGCATCACTGGAATTCTCTAAATTTAATTAACTAGGAAGCACTACTTGTACATATCTTACAGAATCATGTGACTATTATTACCCTCCATAATTACGAGCTTAGTTGTCCACAAATGGTAATTACTAAAAACCGAATTTTTACCGAATGCGTTCTCATCTTGAGTGACTTATTCTTAAAAGCCTTATTTTGCACAAAAATAGGGAGTTAACTTCAACTCGCATAGTCTTTGAGTAAATTTTGAATCCACTCAGTCAATAGCTAACGTTTTCAGAAAATATAAAAACAATCTACACTTTCACTCCAATGTACTTTTAATTAAAGCTATGACACTTCAAATTAGTTGGTAGATATTGTTAGCTTCACTTTAAAAAAACTCGATGAATTTGAATGTTCATTATGTAAACGATTTGAAAGAATCTTTTCAATTCCGAACCCGATTGACATGGAAATGTAAATCATCTCAGTTCTCCGTCTTACTAATCAGAAATTTTACAAGCGTCAGTAGCAATAAGACAAATACTTGCTCGTAACTGTATAGTCACAAAGTATTTTTGAAAGCTTAATCTCTTTATTTATTGTTTAGATACCCAATATGCGAAGTGAAGGATAAATTGACAGTTTTTCCCCCGAATTTCAGATTCATATAAAATATTTTGGAATAAAACAATCAATATCATATAAGCAAGCAAATAACTATGATAGATTTTCTCGAGAATCGAAATAAATACATTCTCAGTTGATGATTATTTTAGTAACTCGAAAAAATAACTGGTAAAGGTAGTAATTTCAATGAAGTATCGGATGTAGCGCAAAACCAGCAAACATATTAAATCAATTATTTTTAAATATTTGACATCAATAGTGAAGGCTTGCTTGGTCTGCAAGCTTTGCACAATATGTATCAAGTTTGAGCTCAGACGAATAAGATCTATGTATTCACATTTACAACAACATACCTTTATTATACTCATCGGTGATCACTGAATTATCGAAAAAATCCCAGAATTTCGGCAAACACTAGAAGAATTATCAATTAAGAAACTAAAATATCGCTTTACCGTATATGTGATGAGAAATTCTACGGTGATTAAAACAGAAATCAGAAGAAAGAAGTTGACTCCTGCCTTAGTGGGAAAATGAATTATTCGCTTTAAAGTTTTGCTTGGGAAAATAACATAATTCCTAGTTTTAAAAAGACAAGAAATAAGGGTTATTCAATCCTTTATTAAAGACCATTGGAGTTAAATTCAAGAAGTTGATGATTGATACATACACACCGTATTTTCTCTAATATATATATATATATATATATATATATATATAGCTCCACAAGTCTATTTCAGAAACCTTCAGTGGTAAAAACTACAGATGATCTGAGGCGCATTCACAGCCTAAATGACACGAAATATTGTTTAAGATATTGAGACATAAATAATCAATCGTGCAGCTTATATGCCCTTTAAGTCCCTTAAATTTTATGTAAGCTGTAAAATTCAGTGGTCAAATAAGTGAATTTCTTGGATCAACTACGTCTAAGCTTATAATTTGATGTTACCCAACAGAATCGTCTGATGATTGAAGAAAATTGAGATGTATGTTCGTACGTATCATAGGCAGACCACTAAATAAAGTTTGAATGATTACGATAGACAGATTATGTATTAACGATATCGCTCTGTAAGGGCAGTATTGAATAAAATCAATTATCAATAAATTAGGTTAATGATGCATGAAGGAAGATGAAGTATTAAGCAATGTATCCTGTCATCTTAGTCACGGGTGATTATATTGTTTGGTTGAAAATGGTAGTAGATATGTTCATGGTTTCTTTTCAGTAACAGATTTACCTAGTTCTTCGCTTTTTCCTTTCATGCTATTCATGCACTGAGAAAACTGTAATTAAAATTATGTTCTGCCATGATTAAATAGATTTACCTAGAAATACTTTTGGAGCCAGTATCTTTGAAACTTTCACAGAGTTTTTTAAATGTAATTTTAAGTACTATATATCCGATTTAAAAATGTTTATATTCGTAATACGATTGAATAAATAAAGATCTGTTTCGTTTTTCGAGACACCATAGACCATAATTTGGCTTAGAGAGAAATGGTGATCTATCAAAAAACAGGAAATCAATTTAAGATAAATCGCATTCAAAGTCCATTTGGGAACACATTCTTGAAACACTAAATAGCAGCAAAACTTTCACTGTTTATATGTTTTTTTCCTCTTTTTTATTGGTGAACGAACTCTGAATATGAATATTTGACACAATTTACTCTTATGTTTGATGGTATCTTTTTAATTTTGTTATGAAGAATCTCGTAACAACGTATAAAGAATTATGACAAGAAACCTTGATAACGTTTTAAAAACCATTTGGTGATTGATATCGAGTCGTTCATATTCTAATGGGCTGCCTACTATATATATAAGGTTTGGTAACTCACAGCAAACAGCATGTGCACTGTTTTAAGTTCTGAAAAGGAAAGACATTACATCTCTTCATCTAGTTCCTCAAGGATCGTTGAAAATAAAAATTGCTCTAGGTTATATTATACTGAATAGTATATGGTGGATGAATAAATAAATCAGTTAGTGTTGGGGGCTTTAAACACGTGTGATGTGCTACTCAAAAAACAAAATAATATTCAGTAAGCTATAACTACAGTGCATACATAAGGTAGGTACATTCTGACAGAAAAATGATAAAATGTAAAGCATCGTTTGTCCCATAGCCAAAGTAGTTTATATAATGACCTGAAAGTTGGTACACGTAATATATTCTTAATTTCAAGTTCACAATTAAAAATATGCTGGTCTAATAAGTTAAGTGCCTTCGGCAAAATAGTAGATGAGTATTATATGGTTACACTTATAGTATTGTTCCAAATTTAAACCGAAGACAAAATAAGGTGACAAAATGTTATGTTCGACTTAAAATAGAACCATTCTATCTAACTTAGTAAACCACCACTTATTCTTTACTTGTTCGAAGTTTTCCGTAATTCTGAAACCAAGTAAAACTCGTAGAAGTTCCAAAACACTATACTAATGTTCCTAATAATGGTGGGAATTTCCCTAAATTGGGAAACACTTTGGTATAAGTGTCTTCTAAAACGACTGAAAATAACAGTTTGAAACTATCAACCTCGATTAGCTTTTATTTCATGACAACAGTGTACGTTTTAGCCAGATCCAGAAGTTAGGCTACCATAGCTGATATATTAGGCTTTGGAAAATCAGATTATCATCACAGAAAACTTACCCTGAACAAAATTTCAGTGAACCGTTTTGTATGTAATTATTTAAAACAGAACCCCATTCTAAGAAAAGTTGAATGGTGGTTAGTAGTGGAATCCAGGACGTGCATTTCGTTATATTTGGGACTCGTCAGCTGGATGTACCTGCATCCTAGAGTTGATGTTTACTCCGGGAGTCGAACCCAGTACCGTCTGCTTCAAACGCCATTGCATTACCTACCTAGCTACTGAGTCCTGATAGCCACTTGCTTGTGCAACGAGGTGAAGTTTTAATTCACCTGGTATTATTTTACTTGAATCTTCCCATTGATGTTTAGAACTGCAATCGATCAGTCTCAAGCTCATTCTTCCAATTGTTCTGTTTTAATAATGATGGCTCTGTATTATGGAATTGTGGAGATTATTGAGTTTTATGAAAATCACTGACCAACTAAAGTTAGACAATCGTTGAAATGACGGTTTTCGTAAGTTTTAGATGTCTTTTAATGTCCGCTTTGACAGATAGTGCAATAGCACCTAAAGAGCGCAACTGACGTCTGGTGTGACACAAAAACAAAATATTTCAACTTTTTAATCAATGATAAGCTATTTAACTTGCTACAAAGTTATTACGAGTAAATAGAAATGACAGATTAAATAGTGGTTATATTTCTATAACATACTAAGATTAAGATGGATTTAATTGTTCATAAACTTGACAGAATTATTTTTCGTACGACAGTAGGATAATATGGTGAGTCCCTTTCAGTCTGCTCATAAAAATTGTGATGATAAAATATGTTGACAATAATTCCAAAATAACGTTATACGCAAAAGAATGATAAAATGTAGTTCATTATGCTATAAAACGTACAAAATTTAATGTGCCGGTATAAAACTTTTATAGCATATTTAAAATAAATGTGTCTCGTCAAAAACTTTAAAGTACTAAGATATCAAGGTCTGGCTCATTCTAAAAAAATTGTCGAATGTGTTTACAAAGCTATGAGCTTGTTTCCTTCACATTACTGTACGTGAAGTGAATCTATAACTAACCAGCCTTTTTGTCCAAATACCACTTACCTAAATGCCTCATGATTTTCATCTTCAACCAAAGGGAACTTCTGCAATGTTTTAATATGTTTGATATTACGATTGATTAGGACGCATATAATGGATATTGCTGAGGCAGAAATATCAATAAATTCTTGTCCTTGTATACTTAACTCCATGTATTTTTCAAGACACTCAAAATTCACACCTTGATAGGGAAAGACACCAAAAATACAAAAGCAGTCAACCTGAACAGTGTATTCGAAGCGCTTTCTAATTGAAAACATTGAGTTATACCCTAGAATTTTGGTACGTTTAGTCACTAAATGCTTTCCTGAAATAATACTAACTAAGTATTTTAATACTTTTTTTCATACAGATATTTTTGGACGTAACGTGGGTTTTTTGTTAAGATACATTCAACTGGAAAGTAAAACAAATCGTAGCTATAAAAAATCTTGATTTTGAGCTACAATAGTATTTAAAGAAGGATTTAAAGTTTATTTCAAAATCTCACATACATGTAGTCCTACATATATATATATATATATATATATATATATATATATATATATATATATATATATATATATGTACATTTATAAACAAAATCCATGACACAAGATGTCGTTTTATCAGCTGTATTTGCTGCTACATGCAAACTAATCAAGGACCCCTATCATCACAAAAGTGGCTTATACTTTTCTTGACATCACCCCATATACGAAAAAGAACCTTTTTATTATTGACAAAGCTACATAAGTGGAGTTTGCTAACAGGGGGAATTTCACTAGAACCATATTGTTTGATTACTATTTTGCAAATAATGTCTGCATGTCGAAATATGTAAAGACGTAAATTATCAACTATTCGAATATTTTCATAACACATTAGTGGCCAAATGCTTTCTATCCTGTGAATATTGTTGTTTGAAATACCTTTCTAAATTTCTGATAATCTAGTTAAATAATATTTCTCTTTGAAGCAGCGGCTCAAATTTCTTTAAATAAAAGAACGTGCAATTTATGAACACTATTGTTTTTTAGAAACTTCAGTACTGGTAAAATTAAGAGAAGTTTGTATCATTGTTCTAAATATTCAAACCATTAAATACATTTTAAACTTACTCGTAAAATATTTAAATCCACGAATTAAAGTAGAAATCCAAGTTTTAAATTCATCTTTCTTTAGGACGTCATCTAAATGTTTGCCCCCTGATAGATACGGAATACTAAGATTGTTAAATATACTGGAGTTGACTGTCATCACAGCTAGCAAAATTTCTCTCGAGAAAAATGTGGAACAAAAACTGAGGCTGACATCCCTAGAGCAAATTTCATTTAGTCATGTAACAAAATATGTAGTTACCGCTTTTTATCGTTAAGTGTATGGTAGCCAGATGAACACAAAGCTGTTTTGATGTTCTCATTACTAGTCAAAAAGCAAATCTTGTAAAACAGTGGAAGAAGCAAAGTGAAACTTTCGTAAATTTTGTCTTTTAGAGCCTTCGAAATACAGTTTTTAAAGGTATGAAACTGCTCAAATACCCTGCCACAAATATTGGTAATCTCCTTCACTGAAATGTCTGAGCATATACCATAAGCATACATTGTTGTTATTTTTAGCACGGATAACAAATCCTCCACAGTAACATTTTTAGAGATTAATTGCTTTGAAACGATAAAAATTTAATAAGATAGAACCTACAGACACTAAATTCATCACTACAGAAAAAAATATATACGTGAGAGAATATTCGATTTCCATAATGATTTCAGGAACTTTTATTGGGATCCTTTTGTTTGTATACAGGAAGCTAATCATGATGATGTTATTACAGCAAAACCTACGTGTGTATTTCCCGTAACAAACTCAGTAAAGTTGATAATAAAATACACAAGGACTTTTCTTCTATTTTCATGTCTGGATTTGAGATTACACATTCGTTATTCGGTTGCTTAAGGTGTCTAAAATTATAAATTTGTTTTCTTGCAAAATGTTCGACAAAATTTAGAAATTTTTCGAGTTCCTTAATCGGCATAACTTCTGTCCCTCTTCCATACCTGCAAATAACTTTACTTAAGGAGCTTACTTGAAGATATTAGTGACACAGGTTATTCCTAATATTCCCAAATGTACTGTGCAGTCTTCCATAATATCTGAAATGGCCACCAGAAATTTTCCTAAAGTTGATGGGCATATAAAAAGGTCTAGTGGGCCATTATAGCTTCGGAATGAATGTGAACAATCTATCAACTTACTACATTATGAAACCATTTGTAATCTCCACAAGCCGTGGCAAAAGTTCATTTTCGTAGTCACGGTTCGAATCCATGGCTTTTACAATTTGGCCAATTCCTGATAAGAAGTCAAAGTGATCAGCAGTCTCGAATAACTTTAGGATAACTCACCATGTGGTACATAACTTGAAGACATCAGCTCTACTTCTGTACCTATTCTTTGTAAGCATTTTAAAACGTTTCTGAAGTTATATTAAGGAAACAAACTTAGTACCTGAAACACGGGTTTTTAAAAGAAATATTATCAAACAGAAGTTCTAAAATAATTCAAACCAACGTATACATACCAATGACACCAGACGTACAAACCAATTTAATCGCACCATCATTAAACTTATTCACCAGGAGTTCAATGAATGTAAATGTAATTTCTTTAATTTGATCATCGTTAGAATTTAAAAGAGCACGTAAAACCACCGGGAGCTCTTTATATTTGCAAATATCAACAAAGCTTCGATTGCAGAGAGACAATCTGAACAAACAATCTGTGCAGATGTAATTATTAAACTAGTCAGTTAAACCTAGCCCGGTTTCCACAACGTCCCTGCTCTTGTTTCTTAGGATTAACTCTGCAACTTTCCGGAAACTGGTTCTTACTGAATCAAAACACTTTCTTGGAAGATGTTTAAGAAGACAATTTAAGTAACAGATTGAAGATGAATCCAGGTAAGAAGATATGGTAGTAATTAATACGAAAATATAATTTTTGATTACGTCTAATGTTAGAGATAAATCAAGAAATACCTGGAAGCACGGGATTCGCAGCCGCGAGATTGTCCAATAAACCGCAAAACAGCTTAAGGTTATAAATATAGTCCTGACTTTTGTCAATATTTGAAATAACCTGTGATTAAGATAGTAGATAACTGCCTACTTTATAGTATGTGTAACTCAGATACTTCAGCTTTAGTTTAGGACTAGCTAGAAGAAGCAAACATTTCAGAACTACATTGCGTCCAGTTTGTTTATTGATATATGTATATACCTGTAAAAGTGCATTGATCTTTCTCAAGAAGTTCTGTAGAAGTCCCTGAGCATAAAAATTTAAGATCAAGTAAATTACTTAAGATGGAATTTATAGATTTATCGAGTAACTTTTCACTGCAGATTATAGTTTCACAGCGAAGATTGGAGACCTCAATAAAGTTTAAAAACTTGTTTGCATATTGCTGGCGGATATTATGCTCCAAGGACTGGTCGAAAATAACAGATATCAGACAACAAATGCAGTTAAGACTTCGAAGTGTATCAGGTGCAGACTCCGAACATGAAAACTTCTCAAATATGAGACTATTACCACCGTGATTACAAATCATCCACGATAATAGGTTAATGACTTTGTTATACTGCACATTATCAAAGCCTCCAATATTCAATTTCGTAATAACAGTCTAATGTAAGCCAGTTGACTTTCACACTCCTTTCTAAATGTTATAATACATTACCAAAATCTCGGAAACATTCAGTAAAAGCAGATTAGCCACTCAACTTCACTAATCTCAGTGAATTCGATCGCTATTTTGGGGTTGAGGAATCTTGGACCTAAGAGATGAGTTAGTCTCAGGAAAATAGGGTTGTTGAAACTGGCAGCCATCACGTTGCTGATTAGGTGACTGATAGTGTGGAGTATGAAAACTGTGGAAAAGGATTCAGTGGAATGGAGAAAGGACTAAGGTGAACAGGAACCAATATGCCTTGGGTGTGCACCAAGTTTTCGAGTTTCCGTTGCAAGCTGTCCGTTTGAAGGTTTTTGGTCGTCTTAATTAAATAGGGTCCTAGATATGGTCTATCTTCGATTAAAAAATGGAGGGCTTAATCTAGATCGTTGCTCTTTGATGTGGTTTCCATTGAGCAGTATCTGGTCGTATTCACCGATCGACTACGGGTAACAAATTTTTGTAGAAAAGTTATGAGGTATCTATTTTGTCGTGTAATTTTTCGTTGGTTTAGTGATCAAATAAAAAATAACAGCCAGAAATGTTGACTGCTTTTAAACTTCATGACTAAGTGCATGACGTTTACACTTTACCTATTATATGTTCAGCTTTACGATTCGATATTTATGAATCTAGCTTGTGGACTAAAAAAGATGCAACGTGTGATTTGTATGGCCACAGTTTTATAAAGCGACGCTGGAAGCTTTAGGTCCATGTTGTTGGACTATAATCTATGGGCTAAGCAATCAGATTTGAGGTAATAACCCTTAAACTTATACGTTAGATTAATTTATCTTCAAGATGCCGCAGGTATTTGGAGTTTGACAACGCTTTAAACAGTAACACCTAGTATGAATCGTACTCACCAAGCGAAATCAAAAGACAGAAGAGGGGGGAGGTTCGTCGATATATTTGATAGGCTATCAATATATCGAGAACCGGCTGATCTAATCTGCCTAGCGATTGCAGGGGTTGTTGAGCACGGCGTTCCCACTTGTGGTCTGGTGCGGATGCATGACCGGGCGCCTTCAGCTAGGTGAGTCCATTAAAACTAATGTGGTCAGCATCCAATGTCGGAAACTTACAAGGCTATTTATTTTGGGGATTTATTTACCGCTACAATCTGTATGACTAGGAAGTCGAGTGAGGGGATTTCGTAATGTCAGCTGGTGCAAGTTCATAATGAAAAACTTTATTCGTTATTCTGACCAAATTAACTTACAACTCTTTAATAGCCCTAGAAACTGATTGAATTTTCCCAGGGTCTTTCCATTATCACTCAAATGCCGTTCACAAATTATGGTCTTACCAACGACCACAAGTACATCAACCTATGGTGCTACTTAGCTTAAAATAACGCCGTATGAATTTGACGGTTAACAGTAGTGTTACTAATCCATGTGAGGGAAACGTAATGGACTAGGTATAAAAAGTTGGAGTGCCAAAGAAAAAAGTTGACTAAAAACGGCAGCGAAATGAGATTGATACATACATCGATAACTTTTTGTTAAGATTAGGATCTCGGGGACAAAGAATTTATAGACAGCTCTCAATAGTGCCTCGTTCATGCAAAATCTGCGCATGTCTAACAAATTCTTTCAATATCAGCTGAAAACATTTCCTATATTTACTTACATTCCTTAGTTGATGAAGACGACTCCAATTTTTGAGGCTGTCCTACCCTATAGTTCAGGTTCTACTCCTCAAATTCCTGCCGTCATGAGGATCTGTACTCAAATCTTAAAAAGTTTTCGGAATTAAGAGATAAGGGTTAGGTAATAAGTGTGATCGCAGTTCAACCCAAGCAACCCAAAAAGGTGAAATAAAGGCGAACAAAGGGGAAATAAAGGAGTAAACGCTTTGGTAGCGAAAGGGGAAATAAAGAGGAAAACGCATCAGAATGTCGCCTTTTCGCCGATTTGTCGACAAATTACCGACTTATCACCTAAAAATCCGCCAAATTGTCGCATTTTCGCATAAATATCCGCTGAATTTGCGAATTTTCACCTAAATATCCGCCAAATTGTCTCATTTTCGCCTAAATATCCGCCGAATTCTCACCTAAATTCCCGCGGAATTGTCTACTTATGCGCTTAGTTGTCTACTTTTCGCCTAAATACACACATAACCCCCTATTTTCCATCCATTGACAGAACCCCAAAGGTCTCCTATGTTCGCCTTCATTTTCAACAACAAACCGAAATATATCTGCCATGCAGTGGAAAAGCGGTACATTTTTTCATAATTTTATTTAACAGGAAAAGCGTATTATTGTACAGCAATAGAGCAGAAGCTTAAGCATCGATTGTTTTGCATATCCAATGCAATTGCTAATTCATTGTTATTTGAAATTACCTGAAAAAGAACGAACAGTTAATGTTTTATTTATAAGGAATGTGCATTTAAGCAAAAGTTAACTGAAACTCAAACATACATTCTCAACACTTCAACAGTTTCCTATGTAAGTAAAAAAGTAGACTGTTTGAAAAAAATAATGTTTATTGAAATCTAGGTAGAACATCAAAACAATTGCACGGACTATTCCCTTAAGCCACGTTGGTTCGGCTATTGAGAATTGAGGTATTCGTCCTGTGAATTCTGAATTTTAAAAAAAGTCACAACCATATCTCAATGACATGCTTTGGCTCAGCTAAATACTTGAAGCTGAACTTACGGTTATGTTCGTTAATATTGTTGACTGTAACTATAGAGCCGTAGGGAGGTTATCACTTTAAATTAGTACATACCTGGTCTTGTTTTCTTCTATTACGCTTTATCATCTTGTCTCGGATATCGTGAAAGTAACCTTGTGTCGCGATGTCATAGAGCTTACCAAGGTCTTTTTCGTTGATAGAGGATGACAGAAAGCGATTAGTTAAGGCACCTGAAGTTAAAGTAATAGATATGGGTTACTTCGTATGCAGCCGTAAAACGTGCATTTCTGTAGTGCTCGTTTTGAAGAGGTGCCAAGTAACGTGAATTTACTGGCAACCTCCGGTGTCAACAGATGCGACAGAACAAACCGCATCGACGTCTTTGCATCGTCACTTGATAACCTAGTGGCCATTGCCAATATCCAGCATTCGTAGTTCCTATTCAGATGAAAAAGGGAACTACTGACTCGACAGTCCGCAATCGAGTTGATGCGGTTTTTCGCGTTCATTACACTTAAATAGCAATTGGTTTACATTAACATTTGTGACGACGGACCACCGGTGAACTCGAGGAAGCTGTAAGAGGCTCATAAGGAGCCGAAGACGTTCCATCCAATCACCTTTCGGAAGAATGTTCTAGAATTCCAACGTGTAGCTTCCCCATTGGATAATGCTAATAACCCCCTGTACGCGGATTAGAAGACTGTAATGGTGATTTCGTTCTCACTAAAAACTATAAATACCTGACAATTTTGTACTATGTTTGACACTGTTTGGAATAATATTCCTTTCGTTAGTCTTCTGTCTTCTTATTGCGACTTGGAAGGGTTTGGTGTTCTAGTGCTCAGTTATACGCGGTTGTATCAAGAAAAATCAGCTTTTTCAAGTTATAACATCTGGCGACGGGTTATTGTATCAATATGTCACTTACCTTGGAACAATTTGAAGCCTTATTGGAACGCCAAGAAAAGTTCCAGATGCGCATGTTAGAGATGCTAACGCAGAAAATGAACCTGGATCAAAAAGAAGTTACAGATGATCCCTTCAAATCTCATGTTGACCAGATTGTTAATTCTATCCATGAATTTAATTTTGATGGTTCAGCTGGCATTACTTTTGAAACTTGGTTCAAGAAATATGAAGATTTGTTCAAGGTCGACCTCAAAAAACTTGATGACGCCGCTAAGGTCAGAATACTCTTGCGAAAACTTGGAACTGTTGAACATGAACGTTACAGTAACTTTATCCTTCCAAAGAATCCAAGAGATTTTTCTTTTGATGCAACGATTGAAATTTTGTCGCAAATCTTTGCTGAACAGTCATCTTTGTTTAACATTCGTTATCAATGTCTCAAGATGACAAAAGCAGGTGATGATGACTGGGTGAAACATGCGGGTTTAGTAAACCGTGAATGTGAGCGTTTCAAACTATCAGCAATGACAGAAGACCAGTTTAAGTGTCTCGTATTTGTGTGCAGCCTCCAATCTCCCGAAGATGCCGATATTAGAACTAGAATTTTGAGTAAAATTGAACAATGCCCGAATATGACACTACAAGAAGTAACCGCAGAGTGCCAGAGATTGGTGAACCTAAAGCATGATACTTCGATGGTCGAAAATAACGGCCAGTTGCCATACGTTCGTGCTGTAAGTGGAAAGAACGATTCTTGCTCAAGAAAGGCATCGCACACAGATAATCAGCCTTCATCTCCATGTTGGTCTTGTGGTGGTTGGCATTATAAAAGGTTCTGCCCATATAAAGAACATTGTTGTAGCAAGTGTCATCGCAAGGGACATAAAGAAAACTGCTGCAGAAAAAGAACCCATAAACGACATTCTTTGAAACCCTACTCGAGGAAATACAGATTTAGTGCTCGAACTAACAAAATATTGGTATCACGTAATCGAGCACGAACGTGCCGCCAAAGAAAGTATGTAAACTTGGATATAAATAAAAAGCGTGCCCGCCTGCAACTCGACACCGCTTCTGACATCACACTTATTAGTCGGAGAACTTGGAATCTTATCGGTAAACCACAGGTGCTCCCAACAACCCAGTTAGCTCACAGCGCATCTGGAGGAAAACTAAATATTGTTGGAGAGGTTTGTTGTACAGTCTCGAAGGGAAATGCGGAAACGAATGCAACTTTATATCTTACACAGAATCCAGGACTAGATTTGCTAGGTCTAGACTTGATAGAAGCACTTCAATTAGCAAATCACCCCATTAACCACATATGCAGCGCAGTGAGAACCAGTAA